GTGGGTGGCGAAAGGCTATGAACAACTCAAACACACACAGAGAGGGAAGAGGCCGTGGTGCGGCAGCCGGGCATCTGCACAACCCATGCCTGTCGTCGCGGAGCCGGGAAATGAACACGAGCGCCCTTCCTCCGCCCCATGAGAGCTCTAGTGCTCCAACGGAGAGATCGGGGACAACAGACTAAAAGGAAACAGAGTCCGCAACTTCAGGATGGGATTCGGGGTCTGGAGAGTGAGGATGATGTTCCAGAAGAAGACGACTTCACGCTATTTGAATCAATGTAGACGGTTGTACCGCACTTAAAAAAACTAACACATCCCCTGAAAATAGGCCCTGGGGTGTCTTCTTGAGGACAAATAAAATATAAGACCCTGTCTTATTTTCGGGGAAACACGGCACGTCCGCTTGCTTTTGATGCTCCGGTGACAGAACAAGGAGGAAGGTGCTCCCAGGTGTGAGTGAGCAGGAACGACGCTGGGCCTGGCCAGCACCGGCCTAAAGGACAGGGCGGCGACGTCCCCCCAAGCCCGCTCAGGGTGGTTGGCACCTGGGCAGGTGCGCAGAGACGGGCCCCCGTTGCCAAGGGCAACGCATCAGCTCCGAGGCCCAGAGGGCTCACACTCGGAAGGCGCCTCCTCCCCACGGTGGCCGTGGCCCGGCAGGCAGGCCCGGCGGGCGCTCCCGGGCTGCGAGGGCAGCCCCGTCTGCCGGGCAGTCACGCAAACGGGCTTCGAGAATGAATCTCCAAGAGAAGCGGAAACTTCAGCCTCCCCATGCAACCGAAACCCCACGGGAGACGGACGTCAGATGTGACCGCCACTCCTCGTGCCTTTCGTAAGAGGCGGCTCCAAGCCAGCCCCGGTCTCGGCGAGGGTGGGGGTCCCCACCGGTCACCCCCTCCTGCAACGCGAACTCACTCCACAAGGGGTTTCTTCAAAGCAAATCAGAATCACTTGGAAGTCTTACAAAACATGCTGAACCCAAAATGTTTTGATAAAGTCTGAAATTACATGGCTCAGTGAAAGCACTCTGGATTTTAAGAAAGATTTTGTGCCCTTCAAGTCTGTTACACTACATATTTCTCTCATTCATTTTAACCACATCTAGAAATCCCCCCAAGAGATTCCACTCTCCGAGCAAGGAAAGTCACGAAAGAGAATGCGGAATGGGCTGGTTCTCGCAAGCAAAATGAAACACTTTTATGTTTTATTCATACGGAGTGAAAACCCCTTTCCTTCACAGCATTACAAATTGAATTCGCTCTTGTAAATTGCTATTTTTTTAAAAAAAGAAATTGGAAGCAAAGGAAAGCTAAAATAAATAAATGAATAAGAAACGCAGGAGTGCAAAGGCCCCTCCTTCCAGGGACTGAAAACTCAGGGGAACAATAGGAAGAAATAGAACCTCTCATGGGCAAACATACTTTTTAAATTTACCGTTTCCAAAAGCAATCCAACTGGAGGCCCCCCACAATCCCAGGATCTTGCTGAGGTCCTGACAGCCCGTGTGGAGCCCTAGGGGCATTCCTAAATTGCATTTATTTTTTTTATTTTTTATTTTTTTATTTCGGCATATTATGGGGGTACAGATTTTAAGGTTTCAATAAAGGCCCATTTCCCCCCTCCCCCCACAAGTCTGAGTCTCCAGCATGACCATCCCCCAGATGGTGCACATCTCACTCACTAAATTGCATTTATCTGCTAACACTGAGTGAGAATAAGAAGTGATTTAAAAACATGAGTAATCTGGCCCACATTTCAAAAACATAACCAAGGCAATGTAAGCTAGTTTACACTGATCTCATTTTGGGGGCTGAGGTGGGAGGCTCTTCCTACTTTGTAGGACAGCTGAACGCATTAGTGTCTAGAACAGCCCCTCGTCCTCTGTACCACATGAAAAGCTGCCCCTGAAGCCTCCCTGAGGTCTGACTCCTCCCTGACCCGCACTGTCTTTGAAAGGAAGCCGTGTAAGCAGCTGCATCTGCTGCTTTAAAACCCAGAGCTAACACTCACCACGTCCCCATCCCTGTACACACCCACCCCACATCCTGTGGGCCTTGTCACGATGCCCATTTCACAGATACGGAAAACTGACGCTCGGAGAGCTCGAATAATTGTGTCAACTGGAGTCTGAACCATTTGTTTCTCTCTGGACATGAGTGTTTGCTCTCGCTTTAAAGAGTCGGGGTGAGCTGAAGATCCTCTCACTGAAATCCACTGACGGCCTAACCTGAAGAAAACCCAACCGCATCCAGTTGTGCATGTATGCAATGATCTCCACCTTGGCTCCTGCCTTACAAAAAACCCTGGAGGATAGGAACCAGGGAGTGATCACGCATCTTACAGGCAGGTCCTTCCACCAAAGGGAAACGTTTTTAAGGATGACCAAACATCGTCGGACATTTCCCTTGTAAAATTAATCAAGTCGTGTCCACACAGCAAGCCCAGTGCAAGCTCTGGCAAGCAAGCGAGTGACAGGTGTGTGCGCTAAGCCACCCCCACGCACCCCCCGGAGCATCTGGACCGGCTGTCACCCCTCATCACTCTGCTGCAAAAAGCTCAGGATGCAACCTCGCTCCCAGAAAGGTTTATCTAATCAGCAGGCGGAGGACATGTCAGCTCTCTTTGCGGACCATTTCTTACATCTGCTTTCCAGCATAAATGCTCGCTCGTGATTGATGACTACTTAGCCAATACTCCTTCCTTTCTGAAGGTTTAGGACCCGGAACTGAATCACATGCACTGCTGCCCAGCCTTGGCCGACCAAGCTGAGGCAAGCCAGTGGAGAACCCCCAAGGAGAGTGGAACACGCAACGCGACAACAAACCGGGCTGCCCCGGACAGGAGCCACAAGCCGGGAGAGCCGTCTCTGTCACCTGAGATCTTCGCCTGCTTTCGCAACTCCCGACCATTTTCAGCAAAGCAACAACTCTTCACCCGATAGCGCGTCCCCAAATGCCAGCTACGAGATCCTCCAGTACCTTGAGAATTGCCAAATATCGACTGTAATTTAAGAATTGATCGCATAAAATGTAGCCCGGTTACTTAGCAATGGTCTCCAAGCACGATGTCTGTGAAAACTGCTGCTTTACCAGCTAGAGTATGTGCTTGAAAACCAGAACTTCCTTGTTTCCAGTCATCCTGGAGAACAGAAAATTCATGCTACATCTGAGTAAGATTTCTTATAAATAACAAATCTTTAGTAGAATTTCAGAAAGATACATAGCGAACGGGATTTTGACACGACCAGAGCTGACAAGTGTTAAAGAAGCGCTGGCCAATCCCAAGCCCCAGAAATCTCTGATGATCACAATCTAATGGTCTAAGGTTTGCGACTAAAGGCTCTCCGGCATCTCCCTCGAGCCAGCCCTCCCCGAAGAAGACGGCCAGAGGCGGGTGCTGAAATGGCTGGACGCCGCGGAACGAGACGGAATCGATTAAAAAGAGCACAGAGGAGAGGAGAGAGGGGGCTCTGACGGCCTGGCTGGGCCGGCAGCTTGGCCGAGTGAGGACGACCAGGAGGGAGAGGCTCGGACGCCGAGGCAGGACCCGGAGTTCCCGGAAGGTTTGGGATACAGAACCGAGGAAGGGAAGAGGCTTGGAGGATTGTTTAACCACTCAGGGACCAGCGTCGACTGTAGTCGACGGCCACAGGTGAACGCGCATAGCCGAGCCTCGACTATAGTGGACAGCCACAGGTGGACGCGCACAGCCGAGCCTCGACTGTAGTCGACAGCCACAGATGAATGCACACAGCCCAGCGTGGACTGTAATCGACAGCCACAGGTGAACATGCACAGCCCGGCATGGACTGTAGTCTACAGCCACAGGTGAACTCGCACAGCCCAGTGTAGACTGTAGCTGACAGCCACAGATGAACGCACACGGCCCAGCGTCGGCTGTAGTCGACAGCCACAGATAAACACGCACAGCCGAGCGTTGACTGTAGTTGACAGCCACAGATGAACACGCACAGCCGAGCGTTGACTGTAGTTGACAGCCACAGATGAACACGCACAGCCCAGTGTAGACTGTAGCTGACAGCCACAGATGAACACGCACAGCCGAGCGTTGACTGTAGTTGACAGCCACAGATGAACACGCACAGCCGAGCGTTGACTGTAGTTGACAGCCACAGATGAACACGCACAGCCCAGCGTCGACTGTAGCTGACAGCCGTGGTATGACTTCTCTAATTTTTCATTTATCAAAATAAAATTGTGAACATTTGAAAATGACGTCATGAGAACACATATGTCCATGCTACCTATTCTGATTTACATGACACGGAAAGCCGCCTGCAAAGTCAAACAAGCTCTCGGTGCTTCCAAGCTTTCCTCGTCACACGAGAGCAAGACGGACGCGCCGTCCATGCACAGCACAGACCACCGTGCGGACCGCGAGTGCCGGCTGTGGGCGAGGGGTCTCGGCCATGAGCAAGTCCAGAAGTGGTTAAGAGGCACAGAGAGACCCGTCTGGTTCCTCACGTTCCTACACAGAGCCCCCTCCCTGCCAGGCTCTGTGCCCAGCGGGCGGCCATGAGCCGGGGCTCTGGTGCTGGGTGGGACGGGGCTGGGAGGGCTGAGCCGGGGCTCTGGTGCTGGGTGGACGGGCTGGGAGGGCTGAGCCGGGCTCTGGTGCTGGGCAGACGGGCCTGGGAGGGCTGAGCCGGGCTCTGGTGCTGGGCGGACGGGCCTGGGAGGGCTGAGCCGGGGCTCTGGTGCTGGGTGGGACGGGCTGGGAGGGCTGAGCCTCGCTCTGGTGCTGGGTGGACGGGGCTGGGAGGGCTGAGCCAGGGCTCTGGTGCTGGGTGGGACAGGGCTGGGAGGGCTGAGCCTCGCTCTGGTGCTGGGTGGACGGGGCTGGGAGGGCTGAGCCTCGCTCTGGTGCTGGGTGGACGGGGCTGGGAGGGCTGAGCCGGGCTCTGGTGCTGGGTGGACGGGGCTGGGAGGGCTGAGCCTCGCTCTGGTGCTGGGTGGACGGGGCTGGGAGGGACTCACCGGCCGTTGTCGCGGCCCACGCCCCACACGCGGATGCTCACGATGGGCTGGGCGTGCAGCACGGCGCCGTCCATGGGGTCCACCAGGCTGAGCAGGTCGTTCTCCAGGACGAGGTGCATGTCCTTGCCCTGGGCCAACGAGAAAACACACTGTCTCCACCCGTGCCCGCCGGTCAGCGACCCAGAGAAGCCGCCACCTTTGGGGTCCCTGAGAGAGAAACATCCTTTCGGGACCAAACCATCCCCAAGTCTTTCACGTGCCCGATTTCTCGCTCCCTCTCCCGGCCTCCGACCGCCCCTGGCCTGCTTTCCGGCCGGGGCTCACCGCTGTTATCTACGCCCTGAACCTGTAAGACGGAAGGCCAGGGCTGCCCTGGGGAACCTGCCCTGCGCTCGCCCCAGGCCCGTCGGGGTCTCACAGCCCGGCCCTCCCCGCCGCGCCAGCCGGACCCACCGGCCAGGCGTTGGCTTTCCCGGCCCGGAGGCGCCCGGCTGCGCTGCCACTCGGGGGCGCCCGCGGGACCCGGCAGACAGCAGGTGCAGCTCCAGGCGTTTCTCAGCGCTCTCGGCAGCTGACATTTACGGGGACGTGCACTGCATCTAAGACACCACCGTGCGCCCTAAACTGCCCCCGGAGAGCTTGGGCTGTCATCCTCTCCAGTCAGCAGGTGGGGAAACTGAGGCTCACAGGTAACGAGACTCGCCCGAGGTCTGACGCGGGGCGCCAGGGGCAGCGCCTGAGCTCACGCCTCGCTCTGCGGTCGGGGTTCTCGGGCCTTGGTGTCTCGTCTCCCCTCCCGTTGGCTCTCGGAGAGGGTGGGGACACGGTGCCCAGGCCTGCCCGTCCCATCTCTGTGGGAAAACGCGACCCACAAACGCCTCGGAGCTCCCCCACCCCCCGCCCGAGTCTCGCTGAGTGGGGGGTTCGAGACGCGGCTGGAGGACACACACCTGCCCGCCACCGTCCAGGTGCCACTCACCTCTCCCCAGATGCCCACGGTGTCCCGGATGTCGTTCTTGCAGTAGGAGAGCTGCCGGATGCAGTTGTTGACCGCCACGCTGCTCTTGCCCGGTGCCAGGTCCTCCTCCGCCATCTCCACCCACCCCAGAGAGCGCACGGCGAAGCACTGCAAGACAGGACAGGGACGCGTTCGCGGGCCGGCGGCACTCACACCAGTGCTTCCCCGAAGACAAGACGTGGCCTTCTATTGGTTTGTCCTCAAGAAGACACCCCAGGGCTGGTTTTCAGGGGATGTGCTATTTGTTTTAAGGACGGTACAACCCTCTCCATTGATTCAAATAGAGTGAAGTCGTCTTCTTCTGGAACATCATCCTCACTCTCCAAACCCCGAATCCCATCCTGAATGTCTTGCGACTCTGTTTCCTTTAGAACCACTGTCCCCGATCTCTCCTGTGGAGCACTAGAGCTCTCACGGGGCGGATGAGAAGGGCTGCTCGTGTTCTTTCCCGCTCCGCGACGACACGCATGGGTTGTGCAGATGCGCTGCGCAGCCACGCCCATCACTAGGGCTGATTTTCATAGCCACGCCCATCACTAGGGCTGATTTTCGGGGTGGGGCTTCTATTGCGCACATGCTCAGAAATCCTGCTGGGGCTTGTTTTATGGGTGGGTCTTATTTTCGGGGAAACACGGTACAATCCTTGAGCAACCACACGCATCGCGCTTAATGTGCTTTAATTGCCTGGTGACGCTCAACCACCTCGCTCAGTTAACAAATCCACTGTTGCTGGAAAATGAAATGGAGACCTTTTCCACTATTTAAAAAAAATGTAGTGATGAGTCTCTTCTTGCCTAACTTGTGTATATGTGTTCAGATGTTTTCCTTAAAAAAGATTACCAGAAGTAAAATTGCAGAGCTGATGGGTACAGACATTTCTAAGCTCTCATTGTCTGTTATCAGACGGTGTTTTTAACAGTAAGAAATGCAACCCCATGAGATCTGTTACTTGCTAGAAAAAGAAAGGAGACAAAATGAACTAAATATACATTAGGTGCTAGTTTCTGATAACAACGGAGCAAAATGCTTTCTCTCTTGCCCAGAAAGGGAGGGAAATGGGGAGACGTGAACTCCCGGTGAGAAACAGGTCTGAGGTCCCGTAGCGTTCACGATCGCCACCAAACCCTGGAACCCTGTGGAGCCGACGGACTGTGTGGTTTTGAAGCACAAACACCATTTATTCTCTTCTCACTTAGAGACAATCTTTTTGAGATCATGTCCCTTGTCTTATTTTTTAAAGTTCTGTTATTCAATTTTTCTCTTTAATTTAATGAAAAAGCATTACATGCCTGTTATAACAAGTAAAAAAAAAAAAAACCAAAGATGAAAAAGAAAGAAATCCACAGTCCACGTGAGGTCTAGCATCTGCCGTGTGGAGAGCCGCAAGGAATCCCGCGCAGCCCGAGCGGGGTCTCGCTCCCGCTCCTGCCTGTGGCCCAGGGCCCCAAACCAAGGGACCCTCCAAGCTGCACCATGAGCTGAGGAAACCGCCTTCCTGGGGCAGGGAGGACCGACACAGAGCTGCCTGGCTTGGGAGCCAACCGACTGGCTCTTAAACAGCAGCCTGTGAGGGTTCAGAAAGAGGACCTCCCCACAACGTGAAGTGTCGGGGCCTAGGGCCACAGGTAGCCAATAACCAGCCAATAACCAGCTAATAACCAGCCAATAACCAGCCAATAGCCAGCTTCTGTAACCTGCTTGTGTGCTTGTAAGCTGCTTGCATGCTTAGGAGAGGGGGAAATTTTCAGTTGACCCTTATCTGACTCCACACCCGCCATTCTGCCTCTGCCAGTGAGATTAAGTCTAGAAACCAAGGAGAAGGGCGGAGGTGCATGGCACAACTGCCCACGAGATATAGCAGCTAACCCCTGAGGCACCTGGCGTGCTTCGTGGACCCAGTGAAACGCGCTCGGGCTTAGATGACAGGATGCGGGATGTACTCCACCTAAGATTATGCTGTCCGCAATTAGGATGCTCCAGAGGCTCCTCTCGGCTGAGTCTTAGCTGCAGCCGGGGACTCCTACAAAACCGATCTCAAGGCTCCAGCCCCCCCACCCCAGTTGTGCTAAAACAAGATGGAAATGTAAGATTAACGCTTCCTCTCGCCTCTGTAAAAGTGCTTGCTAATTAGATTTTTAGAGTGTGTTTCTTTGCCTTTAAAAAGGGGCCGTCTTTCCCTTCTCATGACTACTTTTCTGGGCCTGCCTCTCTGCAGGACAGGAGGAGTCCTGGCCAGCAAATAAAGACTCACAACGGGGCCCAGTTGGGTTTCTAAGGTGGGCTTCTCTCGCACTCCGGACTATGACAGGAGAAATGCAGCCGGGTGTGCGAAAGGGACCTCAGACACCCTGGTTCCGCCGTCCCCTCCCAGCTGCGGGTCAGACGGGTCCTGCTTCCTGAGGTGCGAATCACACCTTTTATCAGGGGTCAGAGGGGACCCCACCACACACCAAAGACAGAAACAGCCCACTCCAGCCAACAGCACTCCAATCCTCGTGTCTCAGAGGAGAGGGCTGTGTGGCCCCTCTGCGCCCTCCCTGATGCCCCTCGGTGCCCTCACACGTGACGGGGAGAAGACGGCCCTGTCTCAGAGGAGAGGGCTGCGTGGCCCCTCTGCACCCTCCCTGACGCCCCTCGGTGCCCTCACACGTGACGGGGAGAAGACGGCCCTGTCTCAGAGGAGAGGGCTGTGTGGCCCCTCTGCACCCTCCCTGACGCCCCTCGGTGCCCTCACACGTGACGGGGACAAGGCGGCCCTGTCTCAGAGGAGAGGGCTGTGTGGCCCCTCTGCACCCTCCCTGATGCCCCTCGGTGCCCTCACACGTGACGGGGAGAAGGCAGCCCTGTCTCAGAGGCCAGGGCTGCGTGGCCCCTCTGCACCCTCCCTGATGCCCCTCGGTGCCCTCACACGTGACGGGGACAAGGCGGCCCTGTCTCAGAGGAGAGGGCTGCGTGGCCCCTCTGCGCCCTCCCTGACGCCCCTCG